CTTCCTGCATCCGTCTTGCCCACTGTAGAGCTGCCCCTGTGGTACACGTAGGGCTGGACTCTGGGGACCCAAGGTGGGGGTGTTGGGCACCGTCATTCCGGAAGATAGAACCTCTGATTGCGGAGTAGTCTTGCATCTTTATCCTCTCTTGATCTCTTCTCCTGCTAGACACAAGCTGGATGTGGTCTCCTGTGGCAAGTCCACGGTGCGAGTGCAGAAGGCCATCTGCAGTGGATTCTTCCGGAACGCTGCCAAGAAAGACCCGCAGGAGGGCTACCGGACGCTGATCGACCAGCAGGTGGTCTACATCCACCCTTCCAGCGCTCTCTTCAACAGACAGCCCGAATGGTAGGTGGGCAGGACGCGGGGCTGGGGGCCGGCTTGGGCAGAAAGGACCTGCAGCTGTCCCAGCACTTTGCGTTCAGGTCTTCGCCCAGCCCGGCATTACCTCCTCTAACATCGCTTCCGTTTCTAGAGCGGCAGAAGCCTGACGTAGGTGCGGTGTCAGGCCCATTCGAGAGAAAGAAAATCATAGGGCTGAGAGCCTAGGAGGATCTAGAGATCGTCTAGTGAGACAGTTTAAACAAGTTTTTTTTTTTTTTTAAGATTTTATTTATTTGTTTGACAGAGACACAGCAAGAGAGGGAACACAAGCAGGGGGAGTGGGAGAGGGAGAAGCAGGCTTCCCGCGGAGCAGGGAGCCCGATGCGGGGCTCGATCCCAGGACTCTGGGATCATGACCTGAGCCGAAGGCAGACGCTTAACGACTGAGCCACCCAGGCGCCCCTAAACAAGTTTTTTTTAAGTAGCACTTAGACTCTTACGCACCCTAACATCAAACTGCAGTAAAACCATGGGGTTGTCATGCTAGGAGGGGTTGGAGATGAGAACCCTGCTGCTTGGCCTGCCCCAGGCCCTGCGGCAGCCCCCTAGGCGCCTCTTCAGGGCCCCAGAATTCTGTGGAGACAGCCTGAAAAACCACCCTCCCATCCCACAGAGCAAGAAATCCAGGTCCAGAGAAGGGGTGTGATTGGCTTCATGTCACTTAACTAGTTAGAGCCGGGACTAGTTAGAGCCAGGACTAGAACACATCCTGACAGCTTTCTTACAGTTAGAGGTGTGCAGCTCCTCAGTACTGGAGCGTGGCTGTCATAAACAGAGACTGCAGCCTCCTGAGGGGCCCCACCGGGGAGGTATGGGGATAAAATGCGAGCTCAGCTGAGGGCCGCCAGGGACCATGGGGACTGTGAGTGGGGCCTGCATGGGAGGCTGCAGCCTTCTCTCTGTCCCCCACTCAGGGTGGTGTACCACGAGCTGGTGCTGACCACAAAAGAGTACATGCGTGAGGTCACCACCATCGACCCCAGGTGGCTTGTGGAGTTTGCTCCAGCCTTCTTCAAGGTCTCCGACCCGACCAAGCTGAGCAAGCAGAAGAAGCAGCAGCGTCTCGAACCCTTGTACAATCGCTACGAGGAGCCCAACGCTTGGAGAATATCCCGGGCCTTCCGCCGGCGCTGAGAGGCGAGACTTCTCTGTCTGTCTCTCCTGCAGTGGTGGCCCAGGGCTTGGACTCACTCTTACGGAGGAAAAGCTGGTCCTGAGGATACAGCTGTCCAGTGACTTATCTTCCCTGGGCCTTTTCTAAACTTGACTCTTACTTCTTCCCTGGTAGTAAAATAGAAACAGATTTCCGCCTGGTTCGACCAGAGCCTCCAGCCCCTACCACCTCAAGGCACTGTGGCCAGTGGGGGCTCACGGCTGGCGTGGGAGTACAGGGCATCATCTCCACGAAATGGGCAACTCCTGTCGCCCTAGGAGGGAAGGGGAGTCTCGAGCATCTGACCCCCAGGCTCGGTGAGGGCCTGACGCCCTAGCTGGGACTCCGGAGGAGGGAGCCACGAAGCTCACTGCCAGCGTTGGCCCCACTTGCCGCCCCTGTCCAGCCCCTGTCCTGCTTAACCTCCGAGAAATATTTATTTTCTTAAGGAAACATAAATGGTTTTCTGTGGCTGTCTCTTCTAGCTGGAAGGTTAGGATATTGGCCTGGGCTCAGGGTGGGAGATGGGTGGCCTTGGTGCACGTGATGGAAAGTCCCCTGTAACCAGAGCTCTGGGCCTCTTGGGGCTCAGAGGTGACGCATCACCCAGGCCTGCAGTCCTCTCTGTTGACGCCCGCGCAAGCCCGGCTCTGCCACACGGCCCCGTGATGAACCGCATCCACTGCCCTGGTCTGGGCGCCTCAGTGGTCAGATGCAGCATGCTGAATACAGAAAGCTCTCCCGGGCTACCTCCTCTGCACGCCACCCAGGGGGCGGCGCGTCCTTTCTCCTTTTGAAACATGCAGGCGACGTCACAGCTTTTATTTTTTTCCCCCCTGGGGTCCTCGATGGGCTTTAACAAAGGGTTTTTCTGGTCAAAGCCTCTCGTCCCCCACCACAAACAAAACCCATAGAACCCCTCTCAGAGCCAGTTTGTACTGCTCTTGCTGAGTGGGTTTCTCGTAGCATTTGGCTGGGGAATGGCCGCCTCCCAGTGCCCCTCTCGCGGTGCCTGAGGAAGCTCTCGACTGGGAAGAAGATCAGACAGATGCTGCCAGGCCAGGCGGTGGGGCTTCTGGAAAGCGGGTCTAGGTGTGGAGCTGGTAGAGAAGCCCCAGGGGGACTGGGCACATGGGATATTATGGCCTGCACTGCCTCCCCCATCCCTATTCTAGTAAGTTCTGAAATGATGTAAATACAACAACTACTGAGTTGTACACCAGATGCTGAGACTCTAGGATGTGAAAGAATATAGGCTGTCTTTGGGCAGCAAACTGACCACCCTAAAGACAGTTCAGAGAGGATGCAGCAGAAAAGAGGCCAGGGCGTCTGCTGATGGAAGTCCCTGCCCTGTCCTTGAGCTGATTCTGTTCGAGTGCTGCTCAGGAAGCCCAGGCCAGTAATTATGGGCAGGGGGTCTTTGTGTGTTCACCTTTAAGGCCTTACAGGGAGAGACAGGCAGGGGCCTGCAGAGGAAACCGAACGTGAAGCAGGGGCTGGGCACCCAGCTCCCCAGTCTCCAGCTCAGGAACAGACTCCAGGCTTGGCAGCCGCCTGCCCCACTGAGTGACCAGGCCTGGGAGGCATGGGCACCTAGGAGGTCTCCAGGCCTGGGAGGCATGGGGCGGGGTGGGGAGGTTTGGGATTTCGGCTGAGGTTGGGAAGGACATGTTTGTTTAACAGGCCAAAGTGAGAGACAGCAGGGCTAGTCATCTTTTGTGGGTTACGTGAGCGAAAAGGACCCTAGCTCGGTGGGTGTTCCTTGAACATCTACCCCAAGAGCTGGGGTCACTTCTCTGCTCTGTCAGTATGGCTAGGGGTCTGACCTTCAGACTGTCCGTCAGGAAACAGCATGGAGGCAGCATTGTTGAGCCTGCTCAGAGGGAGAAAGGAGCCAGATTGGGAAGGAGCACTTGTCTGCTGCTCCCACACAATGGGGCCCTTGTTTCTCTTCCTTGAAACAATATTTCCCAGAGATTGAGTGACAGCCCAGGAGAGGATGTGGGTCTCCTGCAGGGAGCTGGAATCTTCTAGGCCATTCACCCCACCCCTGCAGGAGCCTAGCTCCGGAGTTTCCTGCCCCTGCGCATGTGCTAAGTGTGCTTGTGTATGTGGCGGGGGGGGGGATCATCCCGGTGCTGCTTGTGTAACCCTGCTCCTCGGTCCAGGGTTCACCTTCATCCAGTCCGGAGCTTGACTGCCTTCTCTGAGTACTGGCCCTCCAAGGTTAAGGATTTGAACAAAGAGCTGTGAGGTGTGTTAATAAACACTTCAGAGGGTAGAGGTCACAGGTCTCAGGCGGTGGATACCATTTCTCATCCAAATCTCTGTCACTCCTTTACGCATACTCAGGACCTCAGGGTTTCTACGGACTTCTACAGCTTCCCACCGAGATAGTCTGGCTTTAACGTGGAATGAAATTATGTATTTTTAAAAAACATGTATATTTTTTAAAACTCGTATTTTAAAATGTTCTGTTCCTTGCTCTAAATTATGAAAGTTGATGTTTTCAGTTTCTAGGAAAACAGTAACGTTTTTTACTTGTGGGTAGTGGTTGACAGCCATCCGCTCTTCTGAGGGCTCAGGGGCTGGGGACCCAAGCTGCTCAAGCCTTAATGAGGGCTGGGCTGGTGCAGCCTTAGCAGGGCTGCAGTTCTGGTTTAACGACAGCATTTTCAACCAGAGCCTGGGTCTAGAACCTTCCATTCTTCCCCTCGTACCTGGACAGTTACCCCTTGTCAGGTCTACTCCCTCCCTTGGTGTTACCACTTAGCTTTGCCTTTCCCATCCACCCACCCAGGCCCCAGCCTTCTAGTCTCCCCTAAATCTGGGGAAGGAGCCTGTGTTCCTACTCCCCTTTCCCTGAAGACCCAGGGTCGTTTGCCTTCACTGGTCAGAACACAGGGCTCTCCCTGCACCCTCTTGCCTGGGTGCCTTTCTTCTCTCCCCATTCTCCAGGTCCTCTCCGTATAAACTCTTGTCCCCAGCTTTAGCAAAAACAGAAACCTGGAGCCACAGCAGAAGCGGGGGGGACACACAGTTGGGGTATAGACATGGGTAGCGCGATCATGGGGAGTGCATCACGGAAACCATAGGCCAAACTCTGCCTGAGGAAGCCCCAGGAGGGCCTCCAAGCTCAGCCCTGTCTGGCCGCTGCCCAGCTGGTAGACAGCCGGTGGCCTGGGGGCACCGGGCCAGATTATAAAGTACCTGTCAATCATTATTTCAGGATCCTGACACAATAATCCTGGAGGAGGATAGAACAAGGGGAACGAACAGGTATCACTGAGCCCATTTTTCAGAGGAAAGTTAGAGGTCAACTGTCTTCACCCAAATCCATCTGGGAAGCTAAGTGTCAAGGCCAGGCCCCAAACCCTGGGCATCTGCCCCAAGGCCAAAGCTCTTTCCAACCCCAGGTCCTTCCTTCTCCCATCGCGGCAAAGAGGACACAGGACAACTGACAGGAGAAGCAGGGGCCTTTATTGGGGTCTGGCAGATGTGGAGGTTGGAGGTTAGAGGCGGACTCCCAGGCCTGGGCCTAGGAAAAGGCAGAGAAGAGGCAAAGGGCCCTAGAAGCAGGAAACCCAGCCCTCCCCACCTCCACCCTGCAGCCCCTCCCCCACCCCAGGTTCCTTACTCCAGCCTCCCCCTGCCTCTGGGAACACAGAGCACCAAGAATGGACAAGCAGGACCCTCCAGGGCCACAGCTTGGAGCGGAGTGCAGGGTCCAGGCTTCTGTCTGCCCACAGTGGGAGATCTGGGGAGCTCAACGTGCCCCTCTCCACCAGGACAAAGTGGGAACGCTCCTTCTCTGTCCCCCAGAACAGAGCAAACTCTTGTTCTCTGTGTGGGGGGAGAGGAGTGCGGCTTGGGCCTCTAAGGGAAGAGGCTGGAGGTGATGCCGCCAGAGGAGCTTCTAGACCCCACCTTTTACACTTGCAGCGTTCTCCATTTTTCCTTCCCATCAACTCTGGTGAGCAACTCAGAGTCTGGGCAGGGGCGACTGATGGGCCAGTGGGGATCTGCTCCAAAGACATCTGTGGGTTTCAGAGTGAGGGTTTCCCCAACACCCAATTCATCTATATGTACACAGGGCGGCAGGGGCGCAGTGGCCAGGGCTAGTAAGTGTAGCCGCCCTTGGGGCCAAAGGCCTGAGTAGGGCCAGCTAGCTCCGGGAGGTAGGCAGGGCTCTCGTCCAAGTGGGACAAAGGGACTGTGTCCTCCTCACTGACCGGCCGGTCAAACTCGGCCTTGAGGGCTGGACGCTGATTGTCCGGGAAGGCCAGAGAGAACAGGGCCTCGGGCTCACACACAAACTTGTACACGTAGCGCTCGCCGGCCACCTGTGGGAAGAGAGGGGCTGGGTGGGCCTAGCTCTCCCTCCAGGTCGGCGGGGGACAGGGGGACGCCGGTCCAGCAGACGCGTGGGGCGCGTCTCTCTCCTGCACTGGTTCCTCTGAGAGGCCCGCTCCCTGCACACTTCCTGTTCTCCAACCTCCCTGTCTCCACACTTCGGGCTTTTCAGTTACTGTGTGGCACTTTCTTGGGAGAGGGAAATCTTGTCCACAGTTTCTCATTCCCTCTGACTGGGGCATTATCTGCTCCCACAGACTCGCTGAGAAACGCCCCCCTGGCCCCGTCATCTTCCCATAGCTGCTGCCCCTCACCCTCCCATCCCTGGGCCCCCGGCCCCCCCACCTTCTGCATGATGCCTTTCTCGTAGTAGTATCGGAGCGAGCGGCTCAGCTTGTCATAGTTCATGGCCGGCCGGTTCTTCTGGATGCCCCAGAGCCTGGCAACCTGGGGACAGGACAGAGTTTTGGGGTGGTGGTGCTAGCTCAGCAGACAAAAGAATGGGGAGGCGGGGGGACAGGTCAGAGAAAGCACCTGAGATTGTCGGTACAAAATGGGAAGCTGGCCCTGCACACTACACAGCAGCCCCCAGACCCAGGCCTGACAAGAATTCAGGTCAGGTAAGGCAACTCTGCTGGGGAGGCCTCTGCCACATTCCCAGGTCCTCGTATCTCCAGGCCCCAAAGATAATGGGAGGAGAGGTACGGAATCTGAGAGGCCCACCTCCTCAGGCTCTATTAGTTTGAACTCCATCCCCCGGCCGGTCCAGGCAATGAAGTGGGCATTCGTTGGGTCATCCAGCAGGGCCACCAGGAACTGCCACAGCTGCAAGGCCCCCCGGCGCTGGTAGGGCGGTCCCTCTCTGAACGCACCAACCCCTTCCTGCTTGATGTCTCCTGGGGAACACAGAAAACAGCTGTCAGGTTTGTGCCTTCTGGTCCCCCAAGCAACACCTTCTCCTCTCCGCAGGGGTAATGGGATTCCTGGGCGGGGGGGGCAGGTGGGGACACAGAGGGCATGGCTCAGATCCTGACCCTCTCATGAACAGTCACTTCTCTGACCTTCAAATTTCTCAGGAACGACACAGACATCATCTGAGAATGGTCGCAGAGGTTTCTCATAGCCATAACCTTGAGGAGGAAGTTGGGGGTAATTCAGATCTGGGGGGTTCAGTGCTATGAGCCCCCAGCGTCCAGAGGGACTCCTGGCCAGGAGACCCTCCCCGACAGCAGGACTCCCCCCTCCAATGTGGAGGGCTTGGCAGAGAGGACGGGGCTGCCTTACCCATGGTCCCGTCACCTGGAGAGTGCCCAGAGAAACCCTCTGTGTGAAGGTACATTGATGCACACCCAGGGACATCTGGGAGGGAAGGAAAGAAGGGTGATGTTACAGGTGGCTGCGGGGGAAGGGGGGTGGCAGTCCTGCCCATATTCAGGAACTTCTTCCTGCCAGCCTGCATTCCGGTTCTTTCCCCAGCTGCCTGCCAACCACCAAATCCCAAGGCAAGTTCACCCAGAGGGAGTGCAAGGCTTGAACCTCTCAGCTTGAAGTCTGGGCCAGAGGGCATGGCCGGCAGCAGCTGGGCTGGGCAAAGCTGTTGCACAAGGCCCAGGATTCCAGGCAACAGCTGTTTCCTGTGAGTTCAGGGGGGAGGAGGGAGGGGATGGATGAACCTCCGGGGAAAGGGTTCAGTGTCCATGCCTAAGACTCCCTTGGAATGGGCTAACCTCCGGTCAGCAGGTCGGGTTCCTAGGTCAGCAGGTCAGGTTCCTAGCCGGTTCCTAGCGGCGTGTGCGTGTGTGCGTGTGTGTGTGTGTGTGTGTGTGTGTGTGCAGGCAGGGAGGAAACAGAGGAGGTTGGGGATTGGGGGAAGACCCGTCGGGAGGGAGGTGGGAGGGAGAGCGAGAGAGCACACCAGAAGGTATCTGGATCTGGGGAAGAGGCGGTGGGCACTGGGCCGTGTTTTTTCAGGTCTGACAGCAGAGCGCATTCACCCCCTTTTCCTTCCATTCCCTAGGATTGAAATAGCCCTACTCCACCTGGAGGAGGCAGGTTGTGTGAAGCCACCCGTTCAAGTTCCAGCCCCTTCTCGCCCTACCCGCCCCCCCACTCCCACCTATGAATGAGATGGTGAAACCCGACACCTCCGGGAGGAGGCGGGAGGGTGGGCTCATTCATGCCTCCATTTTGTGAATGAAATTCCTGACTCCATTGAGAGGAAGCTCAAGGGGGAGGGGCAGGAGTTCAAGGGCAAGTAACAAGATCTCCTCCGGTCTACATCCTTTGAAGGTCAGCAACCAGAGCGTTTCCCTCCTCCTTCCTCCACCTCACAGCCAGGCCCGGCTCAGCGTATGCCCCACGTCGGAGAGGCGCACCCTTGTGGTTTCACTCGGGCAGCCCGGGGGTCTGTGGTTCGTCCCCCTCCCGCTAAAACACTGAACTGCAGGAGATGGGAAATTCGAAAGATCTAGCCTGCCCTGAGCCTACTCTAATCTCAGTATTTATTATTCTCACACGAACTTGCTGATAAACTCAAATTTGGGGATGGTGACAATGTAACAGAAGCCAAGGTTTTCTGGGTCCCTCCTAAATGAGAATGGCCCTCCCTTGGCACCGGAGGCTTTGCATTCTAGCTGGCCAAGAATCTGGCTGAGTGCCCCTCACTCTTGTCAATGGTCAGGTGGAGCTAGAGTTCAAAGCAGCCCTACTTTCGTACCCAGCTCCATCAGCCTGGAGGCTGGAACAGTAACCCTGCGTTCCTGCTGGGAACGAGGAGCCTGGCTCCTTTCAAGTTCATGTTTCTCTTCATTCAAATCCGTTAGTATTTTTAAGCTTCCGTGGGGACGGGGACCAATGACACATCCTATTCATCTTTGTGCCCTCCAACTCCACACAATTCATGCTCCCAGCCCAGCACTTGGGTCTCAGTAGGTAACTGTAACCTCAAACACTTGCCAGAGAGGAAAAGGAAGAGATGCCTCAACTTTCCTGTTAAACCACAAGCTGCCTGAGGGCAAGGAGCTGCACCCTCTTATCTTTTATCTGAGTAGAAGTGTGCTGACTGAAAAATGACAATTCTTTTGAATCTATGACCAAAAGGGAGTGGTTGGGTGGGTTGGGAAGGTAAAAAAAAAAAACAAACACAAAAACCTGTAGGGAGAACTTCTGGGTGTCATGGAGCTGTTCCTAGGATCACATGCCACCCTCCTCAGCAATCCCAGCAAAACTCCTCCAACCCCCTTCCCCAGGAGCATTTCTTACCTGAGTCGTAGGCGAAGTCCGTCTGCTCCTGTTTGATCACCACCCCCGCCCCTGGGTACCTGTGCTCATTGACTCCACCCTGGCCCACCGTGGGCTGGCCTGCCTGTTCATACAGGGGGTCCAGGTATTCCTGCTTGAAGCTCTGCGGGGGGTAGGGCGGGCAGGGCTCCGACAGCTGGTGTGGGTAGGGGGCTGGGAGGGCTTCCCGGCCCCCTCCCTGGGAGGAGGTGAAGGAGTGGCAAATATCCAAGGGCTGCTGGAAGACAGAGCTGGACGTGGTTGGGTGGAGAAGGAAGAGAAGATTAACTTAAGCGGTCCCTGTGCCCGCCACTCCCAGAGCTTGCAGACTGGGCTCTGGGGTGGGGGGGGTGTCAACATCCCTTCTTCCCCACCTCCCCCCACGCCAGGTCTCTTAGGGGCAGCTGGAGAACGCTCAGGGATTGAGGAAGAACCGGTGAGACCTGGGCCCACAGGTTCTGTGGGCCTCCTTGTCTCCTTACCTCTGCTCCCCGAGGTACCCGTGGCCAGGGTGGGGCTGGGAGGTGCCAGAGGATCTCAGGAAACTCCGTTGTTCTGCCCGGGGGAAGGGCTGCAGGGGCGACTGTCCGGGGGCACCGGGGGCAGGGGACTTGATGGCGATTTGTCTAGGGGGGTCATAGGCACTGGAGTTGAGGGGGAGACGGGGGTGAGGGGGCAGAGAAGCTGGGCGAGCATCTTTGAACCCTTTATCCCCAGAGAAGGAAAAGCAGGGCACGCTGGAAAAGGAATGGCATGAGCGACGGGGGGCCCCAACTGAACTCCTTCTCTCCCTTCTCGTAAATCCTGAAAATGGGTGTAATCCTGAGAATGCCTCTCCCCAGCCCACAGCACCTGGGCTGGGCAGGAAAATGGCTTCCTCCAGTGGAAATGCTCTGCCCGGGCCTTAGCACACACACCCCTTGAGCCCCCTGCTGCCGTCTCCTGACCACTGGGAGGAAATCCTGAACCGTGGGGCTCCCTTACAGGGGCTCAGAAATCCTTTGTGTTGTCTAACTTGCATCCCATTGCTGCCTTTACTCCTCCCTCCTCCTCCCTCCTCTCCTCCCTCCTCCCTCTCCTCCCTCCTCCCCTTCCCCCGGGCTGGGCTGGGGTTCACCTGGAATAAAGGCACTGCTCGCCATGGTGGTAGGGGAGTTGCAGCTTCCTGCCGCAGGACAGGGCCGGCTCTGCGCGGGGACTCCGGGGCTCCTTCTTGATCCTGGTGGTGGGGCTGTGGAAAGCTACTGCAGGAGCGGGAGGAGGCAGACCACGGCCAGAGAGGGTCACAGAGGACGCAAGGAGAGCTCCCCACACCTTCTGCTCTTTGAGCACCAGCCGGGAGATTCCCTGGGGCTCAGTGTTCAGAGACTCCTGGTCCGACACTTTTAAGGGCAGCTGGGCCATTTACACTCTGTCTAGTTTTATACGTCGGGCCAATGTCCAATATTAACCGAAGAGACTGTCTAAAATTCAACGTTTAATGCAACCCCAAGCCCCCAAAAACACCTTCGTAGGCGTGAGCACCTCCAACATAGGGCCTGTGGTTTTCCTGAGTGCCCTGGAAAATTCCAAGGGAGAGACATGTTTTCTTCTTTGGGGCTATAAAGGATCTTTCTTTTTCTGGTTCAGGTTGGATATTTGCCCACTTGCATGTCAGCTGACTACCATTAAGCACATGCTCCTAATTATCTGTGAAGAACATTGGTCTTTCCTGTGGCCCCTGCTGGGTCCGCAAACTCCAGCCACCAGACTTGAGCCGCAGAGCTGGTTCCAAGCGAGTGTGAGGTTCTGTCTTATGGTGTTGAGCCCAACGCCAGTAGACGGTTCTGTTGTCGGCTGTTTTCCTTTATTTGTGCCTTAGTTCATTTCAACAGTGAGTGAAGACAGTTGAGAACGGAGTATCTGACATTAAAGCAGGGTTTCTCAACGGTGCACTGAGGACCTCTGGGCCAGATAATTTTTCTTGTGTGTGTGGGGCGGGGGGGGCTGTCCTGAGCATTATAGGGTGTTTGCAGCATCTCTGGCCTCTACCCACTAAATGCCTGTAGCACCCCACCCTCAGTCGTGACCACCAAAAAATGTCTACAGACGTTGCACATGTCTCCTGGGGGGGCAAAATTGCGCCCCCCCCCCCCGGTTGGATGAAAGTAACTTAGAAGGGTAGAACTGGGCCCCGCTGAACTGGTCCAAGCCCCTCATTTCAGAAATCAGGAAATGGGGGGAGGGGAGCAGAGAGAAGTGTCCACTCGCGGGGCACAAACCCTGATTTGAACCAAGGTCTCCAGCTCCCAGTCACTGCCTTGGTCTTGGCGTCCAAACCCAAGAATGGGGAGCCCCGTTCTTCCCCCTTTTCTTTAGCAGAGAACAAGTTGATCTTTTGTGATTCTCTATCCCTGTGACTCATTTCCTGCCCTCCCCCACTCCCCATTCCCTCAACCCAGGGCCCTCCACTCACAGTTTTCAGAATGGAAATCAGGAACAAACTGCTCATCACTGTCCGGTACCTGGGCTGCAGAGAGAGGTCAGAGGTGAGTCTGGGTGGCGGCCCCTGGATGGCAGCCCCCAGGAGACACCATTAAGGCAGGCCTGCAGATTAGCACTGGCCCGAAGGGGGAAACAGCCTTCCGAGGACTGAAAGTAACCCCACCCCAGGTCCTAGTGCCCTCCATCTCTGGGCTCCACTAAGACCTTGGAGGCAACACTGCCAGTTCCCAGAACCTGTCTGAGCAGATTCCAGAGTCTTTTCCTAGATGCTTTGTCTTTATTCCCTGCATTTTTCGGAAGTGAAGGCAGCCCTGCCCCTCAGAGTTCACAAAACTCCCTCTCCGGGCTCCCAGCAGAGTCACATCTGGGATGGGCAGGCATTGCATTAAGGGACAGGTCCATTATCCTATGGACCTAGAATAACATGCGGGAGATTCTGAATCGGGGCTGGGCCCAGGAATCTGTGTTTTATACAACCTGCTGGGTGAACCCTGGAAATGGAGAACTTGGGAAAGAAGATGGAGAAAAGGGGGTGGCTCAGGAGAGGTGAATAGGAGGACAGTGGGAGAGGAAGTGGCTGGGGACATGGGCAGGTCACCGTGCCTCGTGTCTTCAGCATGTAGCTAGGAGGGGAAGGTCTGAGAAGCGCTCCCAGGGTGTCAGTGGGGGCGGAGCTGGGTTTGGGAGTGAGGCCTACGATAGCACAGCAGGTCATCCGTGGCCTCCAACCTGGACCTTCGGGCTCTGATTTCTAGTTTCTTACCCTGGCCTCTCCAACTCCTTCAGGTGGGCATATGGCTGAGGACCACCCCTGACCCCAGAATCTTTGACCACTTTTGCCCCCTCTCCAGAATAGATCAAAGCAGGAAGGGGAAGGGTAGACACCAAGAACTTCCTGATAGTCCAGAAAGAGTGGCTTGAAGGTGAGGGCTTGGAAGACGGGGAGACTGCTCTTAGAGTGGACAATGGGGAAACTGACGGATAAAACAACAAGAGTCGAGAAAGGCTGGTAAGGATGAAGGACACGAGGACACAAGGCTGGGGGACAGCTTCACGCCTAACTCTACCCGAATACACCCCAGCCTCCATGGCTTCCCCATCAGCAGAGGCTCCACAGTTTCCTCCTGGGATTTCAGCCAGAGCCTCTGTTGGAACTCCCTCCTTCCATGCTCACCTCCTACAACAGGTGGTTCTCCACACAGCCGTCAGAGTGGTCTCTCTGCAAGAGAAGTCCACTCCCTTCTCTCCTTGCTTAAAGCTCCAACCCCAAACTCTTCCTCTTGGCCAGCCCCTGAGGCCCCATGGGGTCTGGCCTGCTTACCTCTCCCACCTGCCTTTCCTCTCCAGAGCTCTTGATTCCTCTTTTCCAGACCTTTGTCTGCCTGTTTTTTTTCTGGCCACTGAAGGCTTAGCTCACTTCATCACTTCCTCAGATGCCTTCTCTGACCACCCACACCGAAGTGGTCCATCCCGGCTCCTATCACAACCAGGTTTATTTTTGTCCTAGCGTGTATGCCTCTTCTTAATTTATTTACATTTATGTGTTTATTGTCTACCCTCTACCTTCTCTGCTTGAAATTTAAGCTCCCTGGGGGCAGGGGCTTTAACTGTCTTGATGATTCCCCAGAGAGGGGAAACAGGGTCTGGCTAAGAAAAGATACTCAAATGCTTTATTTGTTGACTAAGTAATAAACATACAATGACCCCGTCCTTAGGCTGGTGGGTGTCCTCTTGGTGGAACTGGGAGCAAGAATGGAAGGGATCCTAACCAACCAGCTCTTCCTTCCTCCTGGGGGCTTCCCTGTGCCCCTACACAGGGTAACTATAGAGGCAGGCCCTCCCTCCAGAGAAAGCACACCTCACAAGAAATACTTTGGGCTGTGATCAATTGCTTGGCAGGGTTCTTCATCAACTTGCTTTGAATATCAGAGGTGCCAAGTGCTTTAAAATACACATTTATAGGGGCGCCTGGGTGGCTCAGTCGTTAAGCGTCTGCCTTCGGCTCAGGTCATGATCCCAGAGTCCTGGGATCGAGCCCCACATCGGGCTCCCTGCTGGGGCGGGGGGCGGGGAAGCCTGCTTCTCCCTCTCCCACTCCCCCTGTTTGTGTTCCCTCTCTCACTGTGTCTCTGTCAAATAAATAAATCTTAGGAAAAAAAAATACACATTTATAGATAATTGCCTTCTTGACAGAGGGATGGGACTGAGGGGTTTAAGAATCAGAAGCCACCAGCAGCTAAAGAAGAACTCCATGAAAAGTCAGCAGAAAACTATTCTGAAGTGATCGAATGAGTGAGCAGGACACGAAGTCCCTTGGCAAAGACAGGCAGGCAGCGTGTATGTGTTCAGGAACACAACTAAGGCACAAAAGCAACCATCCCCAAACTGATCTAAATCAAGAATCCCCAGTTTATTGTTAAAAATACACATTTCTGGGGGGCCTGGCTGGCTCAGATGGTAGGTAGAGCATGTGACTCCTGATCTCGGGGTCA